AAGAGTATCATCAAGATCTGCAGGACAATGAGATTACAAATGTCACACATGTGCCTGTTCCTGTAAAAAGTGACYATGATGAAGTGAAACATCAGTCCTCCCAGTTTGATTGCAGACCGAACGAAGAAAGCAGAGATTCTGTTGGTGAACCAAATTCAGCCACAATCTCAGATCCATTTCCACTTGRACAGTCATCTGTTGAGGASAGTTGTCTTGATTCTTCTGATCAGYGTGATTGCAAATGGGCACATACACATGACGCTCTCTCAGGAGATGAGAACATTAAAAAGCACCTGAGACCGACAATGCACGCCCAGTAGAGGAACGACCCTTTCCGTGCTCGTACTGTGGTAAAAGGTTTAGCCTTAAAATTTAAATGGACACAAACAAGACCATGTGGGTGAAAGAACTTTTCTCTGCCTGTGTTGTGAGAAGTTATTTAAAGACAGTGGTTTGMTGTCGGCTCATATCAGGTGTCGCACTGGTGAGCAGCCCCACAGCTGCTTGTTCTGCAACAAGAGTTTTAGTGGAAGGGGAAACCTGACCAGGCACATGAGGATCCATACAGGGGAGAAACCATACACCTGCTTGATATGTAACAAAAGTTTTAATGTAAAGGAACATCTAAATAGACATATTTAAAGAACCACAATGGGGAAAAACCATTCTGTTGCTCTGTCTGTGGCAAAGCCTGTACTCAGAAAACAGACTTGAAGAGACACATGCGAGTTCACACGGGCAAAAAACCATTCACCTGCTCTTTCTGTGGAAAGTGCTGCGCTGAGGAAGGAGACTTGAATGAATGACTTGAATGGGAGAGAAACCCTTTGTCTGCAACATCTGTGGCAAACGTTGTGCACAAAAGGGGAGCCTGAAGGTCCACATAAAAGTCCACARGGGCGAGAAACCGTTCGTGTGCTTCGTTTGCGGAAAGAGTTTCATCATTACAGGACATCTGAAAAGACACGTGAAGCTTCACGCTGCTGAGACAGATAATTCTGCAGATTCTACCAGAACACAAAGTGAAGGTAACGCTAATAACCCAGCAAACACATKGTAACTGGTCATTTATCTTGAATCCAGAGGTGTTTTAGGGTGCAACCTCAATTTATTATGACCCCCACACGCGAAGCATAAGCGGGAGTCATATTGTTTTCCTACTGTTTATTTATTTATTTTAATTTTTGTTTTTTTCAGTGATTTTTGGTCAACCGTACCACAAAAACGGCTGCACCGGTCAACATGAAATTTGGCAGGGCTGTAGATGAGTCCGACTTACATTGCGCCAGCCAACGGTTTTACGATGGACCCCATATTTGAGGAGGGGGCTCCTTTCAAAGTGGGGGTGTCTGGACATGCAAAAATGCTTATAACTCAGAAACTATTAAACATAGAAGCTTCAAATTTCTTTTGTTGTTTAGCTCTGATGAAGCTCTATCAGGCCCACCAACAGTGCCTCCCCCCTCCCCCAATTTATCTGAAAAAGGTGTATCTGGACATACAAAAATGCGTATAACACAGAAACTGTTAAACATAAGAGCTTAAGATTTTTTTTGTTGTCTAGTTCTGATGAGGGGCTATCCATCAGGTCAACCCCCCCCCACCCCACCCCACCCCCCAATGGATGAATTGCACTTGCAATTGAATAAAATGCACCTGTTACCAGCATTTGCTTTATTATTCTCTTG